CAGCAGGTCATTATCTCCCGAGGGTCCCAGACTCTGAGAGGGCACAGGCCGATCTGAGGGACCACCCCTCCCCCCTGAGTGCACAAATTTTTGTGCACTGGGCCTCTAGTTTAATAATAAAAACATTGGCTGAGCTGTACCCCTGCTGTAAAAATTTGATGTATGTAAACATACCATCATATGCCAATAGGCACCTGGCCTTCTAGAAAGTCATGAAAGATCAAAGACAGAAATCATTTAATATGACAATAGATGCATTAACAAGATCCAAATATGATTTAATTACTTGTCCCTGTTTCAGATATTAGCCTGAGAAATTTTGTTTTTCTCAGCACATATTGACTATATTTTAAAGGAAAAGGAGCATACTATAACCTTTGAGTCCATAGAAGAGCAATGTCAGTTTATGTATTTAATGTCTTAAATTGCTTTTATTATCATCTTTGATGGTTTGTAAAAAAAAAGTTAATAGATCCTCTCTCACACATCTGGAACTATAAATCAATACTGTTTAGTAGCTTGTGTCTCTTTGTGCTCACTAATAAACTCATAGCAGCTGATGGTTGTTATTAATCTCTCTCCTCATTAGAGAAGAACATGCTACAAATTCATCATTCTGAATAAGAGTAATGGTGTTTAATCTGTTTCTCTGATCCTTCTCGCTTTATTGTTCATTAAACAATTCATAACGATTATTCAGTTTTTCATACAGAGTTTGGGGTGATAGCATAGCAACGGATTTGACGGTACACTCCTTGGATTTGGGTCCAGACCTCTAATTAGCTGTGTCAGGCATGTTACCTAATCTCTCTGAGCCTCAAATTCTTCACCTGTAAAACAGAGTCATTCCAGTTATCTCACAAGACAGTTATGATGATTAAATGAGATAATACATGGGAATAGCACTACACAAATACCTTTTTAAAACTTTTAATTATTGAAAATTTCAATCATATTCTGAAGTTGGGAGAAGAGGGTAATGTTCTTATATACCTGTTACCTAGCTTCAACAATCATCCGCTCATGGTCAGTGAAGTTCACTACACTCCATTCAATGTCCCCTCTTCCTCCAAAAGAAATATTATAAAATCAATTCCAGATATTATATAGTTCTCATCCTTCATTATTTTAGTATGTATCTCTAAAAATAAAATATATTTAAAAAGAATAACTATAAAACCATGATCATACTTAAAAATTTAATAAATAACCAGTCAGTGTTCATATCCCCAATTGTCTCATAATTTTTAAAAATATATTTTTATTGATTTCAGAGAGGAAGGGAGAGGGAGAGAGATAGAAACATCGATGGTGAGAGAGAGTCATTGATTGGCTGCCTCCTGAATGCCCCCTACTGGGGATCAAGCCCGCAACCCGGGCATATGCCTTTGACTAGAATCAAACCCAGGACCCTTCAGTCCATGCATGGGCTAATGCTCTATCCACTGAGCCAAACCACTTATGGCATGTGTCATAAAATTTTTTATAATTATTTTGTTTGATTCAAGATCTAAATAAGGTCTACACATAGTATTTGGCTGGTATGTATTTTTTTTAATTTAATTTTTAAATACTACTGGGGATGTGCCCGCAACCCAGGTACATGCCCTTGACCAGAATCGAACCTGGGACCTTTCAGTCCGCAGGCCGATGCTCTATCCACTGAGCCAAACCAGTTTTGGCATGTATTTTGATATATTATTGACTAGAGGCCTGGTGCATGAAAATTGTGCACTGGGGAGGAGTCACGGGGGGCGGGGGGGGTGGCCTGGCCAGTCCTTCAGCCTGGCCTGCGGCCTCTCACAGTCTGGGAGCCCTGCGATCCATTGCCCCGCAGAGGGAGGCCCCGTGCACCCACCAGTGCCCAGCCAGGTAGCCTGGGCCTCCCTCTGCAGGACGATCCATCGCAGGGCTCCACGATGGATCGCCCCAAAGAGGTAGGCCCTGCCCACCTGGCCAGGATTCCACGATGAATTGCCCCCGCAGAGGGAGGCCCCTGACCAATCACATCACACCCACCTTGGCTGGCCTGGCACCAGTGGGTGTTGTAGTGTGGTCATCCAGACGGTTGTTCTGCTGTTCAGCCATTCAGTTGATTTGCATATTAAGCTTTTATATTATAGATGAGAGAGGGAGGGAGGGAGGGAGGCAGGGAGAGGGGGGGGGGAGAAAGAAACATTTATGTGAGAGAGAAACACCAGTTGCCTCCCAAATGCATCCTGATAGGGGATCAAACCTACAACCTAGGTATGTGTCCTGACCCAGAATGGAAACCACAGCCTTTGGGAATATGATATCAAAAATCTACAATTGTAATAAGTTCTTCATGATAATGATGCAGTTATAAGTTTGGAAACTGATGGCTTTGTGATGTGTCAACTTGGCTAGTCACCAGTATTTCCTTTCCAGCATGCTTCCTGTTAGATGGAAGACAAGAGATCTTCTCTTGTTATTATTGGAGAAGAAAAAGGAGGCATTCTAACAGGTGTGAGATGGTACCGCATTGTCATTTTGATTTGCATCTCTCGGATGATTAGTGACTTTGAGCATATTTTCATATGTCTCTTGGCCTTCCTTATGTCCTCTTTTGAAAAGTATCTATTTAAGTCTGTTGCCCATTTTTAAAAAAAAATATATTCTATTGATTTTTTACAGAGAGGAAGGGAGAGGGATAGTTAGAAACATCAATGAGAGAGAAACATCAATCAGCTGCTTCCTGCACACTCCAAACTGGTGATGTGCCCACAACCAAGGTACATGCCCTTGGCCGGAATCGAACCTGGGACCTTTCAGTCTGCAGGCCGACACTCTATCCACTGAGCCAAACCGGTTAGGGCTGTAGCCCATTTTTTGATTGAGTTGTTTATCTTTCTTTTGTTAAGTTGTATGAGTTCCCTGTAAATGTTGGAGATTAAACCCTTATCAGTGAAAACATTGGCAAATAAATGACAAGTGCTGGCGAGGATGTGGGGGAAAAAGGAACCCTCATACACTGCTGGTGGGAATCGAAGCAAAATAAGTCAGTCAGAGAAAGATAAATATCACATGATCTCACTCATTTGTGGAATATAATGAACGACATAAACTGATGAACAAAAATAGAACCAGAAACAGAGAAGCATCGATCAGACTCTCAAACCTCAGAGGGAAGGTAGGGGAGGGTGGGCTTAAGGGGGTGAGATAAACCAAAGGACTTGTATATATGCATATAAGCCTAACCAATGGACCCAGACACCAAGGGGTTGAGGGCATGTGTGGGAGGTGGGTGGGGGTAAAATGGGGGAGTAAGGACACATATGTAATACCTTTATAAATAAAGAAAAGAAAAGGAAAGAAAAAGGAGGCAGCAGCCATGTTATAGCATGCACACACCTCCTGATTCATAAGTCGATGTTCAACCACTGAGTCACACTGGCTGGGCCTATGTAAAGATTTTATAGTTGTAATTAAAATCGCTCAACAGTTGACTGTAAGTTAATCAAAAGGGAGATTATCCTGGGTGGCCCTGACTTTATCAATTGGAAGACTTTTAAAAGAGGACTTAGTCCAGGCCCAGCTGCCTTCACTGGTGAATTCTAGCAAACATTTAAAGAAGAATTAATACTAATTCTTCACAAACTCTTCTAAAATATAGAAGAGGGGTGAACAATTCTCAACTTATTCTATAAGGCCATGATAAAATTGAAGACAACATAAAAAAGAAAATTAGAGAATAATATCTCTTACGAATATAGACATAAAAATTTTCAACAAAATATTGGCAAACTGAATCCAGCAGCATGTAGAAAGGATTATCCTATATAATAAAAGCCTAATATGCTAAGTGTCCCGTTGTCTGTTTAACCAATCAAAGCATAATATGCTAATTATATGCTAAAGCCACTCAACCGCTCACTATGATATGCACTGACCACTAGGGAGCAGATGCTCTGACCGGAAGGTTAGCTTGCTTCTGGTTTCTGGCCCATCGGCACTGAGCAAGACAGGCCGGACATGCCCTGGGGCCCTCCTGTGGTCTCTCCCTAGCTGGCCAATGCCCCACATCCCTCCCTGGCCCTGATTGTGCACCCGTGGGGTCCCTCGACCTGGCCTGCATCCTCTCGCAATCCTGGACCCCTAGGGAAATGTTGGAGAGCCAGTTTCAGCCTGATCCTGCAGGCCAGGCCGAGGGACCCCACTGATGCACAAATATGTGCACCGGGCCTCTAGTTCACTATAACCAAGAGAAGTTTATCCCAAATGCAAGGTTGGTTTAATACTTGAAATGAATTAATGTAACACACTATATCAATAGAATAAAGGATGAAACCCATATAATTATTTCAATAGATGCAGAGAAAGCATTTGATAATATCCAATACCCTTTTATGATAAAAGCAATCAATAAACCAGGAATGGAAAGGAACTTCCTCAACCTAGTAAAGGATATCTACAAAAAACTTTCTCTGGGGAGTCCATACTTTCCTTTATTCTTCCATTCCAAAAATTTTGTTTATAACTGATTCCATGTAGGGCAGTCTGGGATAGTCCACTGCCTGGAGCCTGTCTTCTAAGTGTGGGGTTCAGTTTCAAGAAGTCCACTTGCTCACAGGTATATGCCATATATTTCACTCTAGTCTTTATTATTAACTAGAGGCCCGGTGCATGAATTCATGCATGTGTGGGGTCCAGCCGGCCTGCCCTGATTGGAGACGATTGGGCTAGGCCAGACGGAGTAGGGGCCCTGGGCGGTTGGCCAAACTCCCTGTCAAACTCCCAATCGAGGGGACAAGCTGCATATTAGGCTTTTATTATATAGAAAAAAGGTGATATTTTGCCTTTTCCCATCCCTACTGCCTTATACTCTATATTTGGTTCAAAATTAGGGCAGGGAAGAAGGGTGATAGTTATTGACCCCCTCAAAGGTCCCAGCATGAGGCAATAAAATAATTTACAGAAACGTTTTAGACATGCACAATAGTCATTCACAGAGTAATGATTAGAATCTTAGACTTTTTTTAAAAGTTGAAAAGGATCCTAGAGATTATTTAGCAGCTAGCTTCTCACCCACAGCGGTTAAGTAATGTGTACAAGACTACTCAGTCATCTACTGATGTATCAGAACTAGAATTCAAATTTTCTTTTAGCCCACTGCACTTTCCTCCACACCCTGCTGCTTCCTTCATATGCTGAGATAAAAATAGCCTATTATGCTATTTTTATCATCGTATCTGCTTCCTTGAAAATCAGAATTTTGCCGTTGCTATAGATGAAGAAATAAGTGCATTTATGTTAAAGAGTTTGCCTGTGGTAATAGGGCTTATCAGAGGTTGTACTGGAAATGAAAAATAGTACCCTAATTTTAGTTCAAGGCTGTCCTCATGAGATCACTTTTTTTAAAATACTTTTTTTTATTGATTTCAGAGAGAGGAAGGGAGAGGGAGAGAGAGAAACATCAGTGATGAGAGAGAATCATCCATTGGTTGCCTCCTGCATGTCCCCTACTGGGGATCAAGCCGGCAACCCGGTCATGTGCCCTGACCTGGAATTGAATGTGACCTCCTGGTTCATGGGTCGACACTCAACTACTGAGCCATACCACCTGGGCACGAGATCACATTTTCTGTCAAAATGTCAAACTAAAATGAATAGAAAAGTGAGACACCAGGGAAATACAGTCCCTGTAGGAGAGTCTCTGGTTCACATGCTAACTCAACTGATAGTCTCTGGTTCTTTTTCTAATATGATGTCATAGTGTGTTGTGGTATTAAAATTTCGTCCTAGCCTGGCCGGTGTGGCTCAATGGTTGAGCATCAGCCTATGAACCAGGAGGTCATGGTTCAGTTCCCAGTCAGGGCACATGCTTGGATTGCGAGCTTGATTCCCAGTGTGAGGTGTGCAAGAGGCAGCAGATCAATGATTCTCTCTCATCATTGATGTTTCTATCTCTCCCTCTCCCTTCCTCTTTGAAATCAATTAAAGTATATATTTTTTAAAAGAATGTTCTTGGTAAAGCAATAAAATTTAGTTAAAATTTTTTTCTGTTTTTAAAAAAGATTTTCCTCTTATAAGAATAGAAGGAAATGAGGAGAATGGGGTGTCACTGCCTAACCCCAAAGCCTGTGATCTTAATTATGAGTTAACTGCCTCCCCAGATGTGTGAGGTCAAAGGCAAATGTTTAGAACAGAGATTTTCAATGGGTGTGCCCCATTGAAAATTTTAAATCATGCAATATCTGACTGTGTAGTCAGGGCACTGACCTCTTTTCCCTTACCAGCGGTTCTCAACCTGTGGGTCGCGACCCCTTTGGCAGTCGAACGACCCTTTCACAGGAGTCGCCTAAGACTATCCTGCATATCAGATATTTACATTACGATTCATAACAGTAGTAACATTACAGTTATGAAGTAGCAGCGAAAATAATTTTATGGCTGGGTCACAACATGAGGAACTGTATTTAAAGGGCCAGAAGGTTGAGAACCATTGCCTTAGACAGTCAAAAACAATGACAACAGCGCCCTGGCTAGTGTGGATCAGTGGTTGGAGCTTGGGCCTTGCATCCAAGGGTCTTGGTTCAATTCTCAGCCCCTGTCGGGGTGTGTGCTGCAGGCAACCAATAAGTGTGTCTCTCTCTCCTCCTCTCCCCCCTCTTTTCCACTCTGAAAATCAATGAAAAAGATTTCCTCTGATGAGGATTAACCAAAAAAACAAAAAAAGAAACACAACAGCCAACACAACAACCACCGCCTGGTGTGAATGAGTCAACATTATATCTATTATTTTATCAGATTAGCAAAACGAATCTCTTTTGGAGTGCACAGAATTCTAGTAATTAGTTTATGTGTGCCATGAGATGAAAAAGGTCGAAAATTGCTGCTTTCCACTGTAGTTTACTCTTGCCTGTTTACAAAAAT